TGAATAAATTATTTTAATTATTTATAAGGGTTATCAGGAAATAGGGATTTAGAATTTAGGGTTAAGGCTTACTAATTAGGTAATGAAAGTTAACAAATTAGGTTGTCATTTATAATTTAATGTAATTAATTGATGAATTAATTAAACTATTTATATATGTACATGATTATTGAAGGATTTCACTAAATAGTACGGAGTAGTACTGTGTTTCCAAAGAAATATCCGTCTGGACGTCAAAAGAAAAGAATACTTCATTCTTTTCTTTATGAACTTGTTTATGAGTATTTGTTACTCTTATCATCTTTATTTGTGATTTATTTTTATCTGCGTAAGAAAGGAAGGCCCGGATTTTATTATTGCACAGGGCCTCCGTTTTCTCAGGACCGGTCCTGACTAAAGGGAAAATAATATTGAAATAATATCTTTCTACAAAACTCTTCCTGGTATGGAGGTGGTTTCGGAGGAGGACGAGCTCTTGCAATATGGGTGAATACCAACTCCACCACTGACGGAGCAGTCGACCAAGACTTCACGATCCAGCACAGATACAAACTCTCAGCCGCAACCCGTTTATCTGGCAACGTTATCTCCTTCGACGTAGTTGCAATCCTAAGCATTAGAATACTTGTAATCAGAATAATCTGCCGCTCCAGCCCCATATTGATAGGGATGGCGGAAAATCTGAACCCCTACAAAGAGGGAGACGGCCGCTAGGTTTTTAGAGAGAAGGAAGAGCTCTCTAGGTTTTTCCGTAGAGTATCTCTCGATGTACTTTCTTGCATGAGGTTAAAATAAGTCAAATTAAAAACATCCTAAATTTTGGAAAATATTATCATATTAGTAAATGTTCACGCTAAATATTATAATGTGATTTTATCATATTAGAAATTTACTTGTATTTTGAGAAAAAGATATTGTACTCATGATTTCTTATTCTGACTTATACTTGTATATTGAAAACATGGTGCACATTCTTTCAAAATTGGTATTTTTATATTGTTCTTTGAGCTCTGTTTTCAGCTTATGAACTAACTTTTGTCGGTGAATTGTGCAATAATCAAAATAAATAAGATTAAAATTACTTTTCTATCTTAATTGCCTAAAGTTACTGTGATAAATCATTTTACTAAATTTTATACGTGAGTATTATTTTTTCTTCAATCTATTACTACGAAAATAAAACATATCTGAACGTAATTTTACCATAATTCATGAGATTTTATCATCATTTCAACTCCTTATCTAGACTGGCCTGGGTCAATTCACTTATTTTTTTTGGTGAGACCAAAACAAAAATAAATTGGAAATAAGGGAGTCAATTGATAGGGTCAGGCCCGGTCAGCAAACAAGGAACTGATGAGGCGTGAGGGTGAAATGTGTACAGTATTTGCCTCTTTCTCTTGCTACTTTGACACAAGCAGGGGTTGTTTGGAAAATGGCTTATCAGCCAACTTTTGGCTTGTTTGACTAATAACAGCTGGTTGACCAGATGAAGAAGTCAAAAATGTTGTTTGGTAATTGGCTTGTCCATTTGGCTTATCCATGTGAACAAGCTGAAAAATGAAAAGCCATGCTATGCAGCGTTTTGATCTTAGCTGTTTGAATTTATACATTTGTACCCCCAATTTTACCTTCTTCGTTATATTCTTCCAGCCATTTGTCATCCTTGTTCACCAACAACTACAAAGACACACGTACTTGTCTTCATTCTTGAATTTTCTTTTTCTGGTTTTTCCATTATTAGTTGGATTTTTTCAGTTAATTTGACTACTTTAATAATACTCAACAAATTTTTAATGCTTAGTGGAGCATTATTTAGTTTAGCATTCTTGGGAAAGGATATGTTCATTCAGATTTATTTTACTTTTATTTTAATGAATTTATTTTTTTAACATTTTCAAATTAAATATTGTTTTTATTAAATAATAATTATAGTTTTAACATTATCACTAGTGGCATTACTCAAGTATTATATATTTCGTATATATATATTCACGTCCTTATACGTCTTTTTACACTCAAACAGTTGTTTTATAACAGCTAATTTTACCAAACACTTACTCACAACAAGCTAACATAATAAGCCAATCAAAACAGCTAACATAACCAGCTGTTATCAAACAGCTAACACAACCATCTAACATCTAAAGCTAACAGCCGATTGCCAAACAAGGCCAAGATTGAGCCATTCGGGTTTGGGTTCAGTCCTTTATGGGACACGCCAATAAGAAACCCGCCCCTTACTTTAAAGAGAAATGCTAAGGGTACATAACTTGTACACAAGTTGTACACCCTATAAATACCTTTTTTTGTTTCCACCCTTTCCTTTTCACTTTTTTTTACCTTTCCTTCTCCATCACTTTTCTCTCACCCTCTCTCTTTTTCTTCTCTCGGCTACACACAACACTTCCCACTCGTGACTTTCTTTCTCTCCTCTCTTCATCACTTCATCTTTTTTCCTCTAATTTCTCTAGCACTTTCACTTCACCAATCTTCCAATTTATTTATTCTTGATGGGAAGAATCTTCCCAAAATCATCATTATTGAGGTAATTTACTCCGATTTTTTTGATATACATTTTAGGGTTTTTTATTTATTTTCCCTAGAATTTATGTATGTTGTAATATTGAATAATTTTATTTTTGTTTTATTGTAAAAGAATGCGGTGTTAGTTTTTGGAATTTTAATCCCAATACTCTATTTCATTGTATGCCCATAATCTGTATGTTAAAATGACTCAATGAAAATTTCTTCTAATTCATGATTTTGTTCTCTATTGCATTAATATACATTAGTTTCTAATGAGTTTTAGACTATTTTTCTGTCTTCCAGTTTTACTACGATATACTAATTGTTGATTGACTATTATTTGATTGTTGTGAATTTGCTAGATGTTTTTTTCTTTTAAGGCTATCTTTGTTTTAAATTTTTCAAATTTTATGTATGTTACTAGATACTGTTAAATGTATGACTATTTGGATTCATGATTATGGATTGGTGATGATTATGATTCAGTATGCTATAACCTTTAATAGTTGATTAATTGATTTTATTGTAAGAGATATGAAGTGTTAATTATCACAATTTTAGGATAATTACTCTAGTTCATTTATGCCCATAACATATTTAATTATAGGTAATGTATGTTTCTAAAGGTGTATCTTTTGAGTTATGAAAAAGAAAATGAAATTTCAATGTTGGTGAAGTAAGTATTTATGAAGTCTTTATGTTTCCAAAGACGTATTTCAATGTTGGGTTTAACTTAGGGATACTAAGCAAGTGAGAATCATATAATATAGTGCAACTTGAGCCCATAGTTCAATATATTGTTTGTTATGCCTGCAAGCGTGTAAGACACAATATAATGATTATAGCCTTCTAAATGATTTAGTTTTTCTCACATGCCTCAAGTAAATGCAGAAACTTTGGCTGCTCTTGATGCTCCTCTTTGGCGATACTAGCTAGGGAAAAATGGGACTGGGCCTCAAAGTATTATGAAATGGATGGCATTTATTTATCATCTTAATCCATTATGGTTCTTTGTTGTAGTTATTTGTTTCATAGTGATTACTATATCACCATGAAATTGATGAGATTCAAGAAAGTGAAAAAGATGTTGTAAAATAGTTTAAAGATAACATATTATCTCTTTTTACACATGCAGTTTTGTTTGTGATTAGTGGGCAATAGTTTTATTTATACAATGTAATATTTGTGATCAGATAATTGTTTTTGTTGAAAAAATTAATGGGAAGAGTTTTATTTATACATATATAATTTTTTTGTGCCATAATAGTTGCCCAGACAATAGTTGTTTGTGCCCAGACAGTAGTTGTCTGTGCCCAGACAATAGTTGTTTGTGTCCAGACAGTAATTGTTTGTAACTAGACATTTCATGTCCCGTTCACAGACAATTCCAATTAGCACATTTACTCATTCCAGTGCCTATTGTCAGTAGCCGGACATTTCATGTCTGCTTCACAAACAATTTCACTTAGCACATTAGTTCATTAGCCCATTCAAGTGGCCATTGTTTGTGGCCAGACATTTCATAGCAGCTTCACAGACATTTTCACTTAGTACATTAGTGGAATTGCCTGTGAAGCAAGCATGAACTGTCTGGTTATAGACAATAGCCACTTGAACGGACCTAATGTACTAAGTGAAAGTGTTTGTGAACGTGATATGAGGTGTCTGACCACAAACAATAGCCACTGAATTGGGCAAATGAGCTCATGTGCTAAGAGGAATTGTCTGTGAAACAGGCACGAAATGTCTGGCCACAGGCAATAGCTAATGGAACAGGCAAATGTGTTAATTGGAATTGTCTATGAATGCGACTTAAAGTGTCTGGTTACAAACTATAGCCACTGAAACAAGTTAACCTGCCAAGTGAACAAGCATTATCATTTACAACCCAAATGTCATATACACTCCAACATCTCAAACCTCAATGCCACTCATTCAAAAGAAACAAGCATTATCATTTACAGCCCAAATGTCAACACATTCCAACATTCCAATGCGACTGGTCTGTATTAACTAGTTGGCATTCTAATGTTGGATAACTTATTATGTGGAATTGTTTGTGAATCAGACATGAAGTATTTGACCACGATAGGCATTAGAATGAGCTAATTTGGTAAGTGTAATTGTCAATAAATTAGACATGAAGTGTCCGGTCACAAACAATAGACAATGGAACAAACTAATTTGCAAAGTGGAATCGTCTGTGAGACAGACATAAAATGCCCGATCACAGGCAATAACCACTGGAATGAGCTAATTTGTTATGTGAAGTTATCTGTGAATAGGACATGAAGTGTGCAATAATTGCTAAGTTGAATTAATAAAATTACAATAATTATGGTGCTTTGTTATAGTTAGATTTTATTCGTTTGCAATATTCTTTTAGTAGAAAATGAATGAGAATCATTCAAGTGTGCCAGCACCTTATTTATCTGAGCCCAAACAATAGTTGTTTGTGCCTAGACAATAGATTACAAGAAAATGAATTTATAGAGGCAAAGCAAAAAACTTATACTTCGTATTACATTTATTTAAACATAATAGAATGTTGGACAACATTTACAAAAGTATAATATGATTAAAAACACACTTGATTCAATATTGATTCTTCATAATTACATCAATAACTTTCTAAAGCTAATAGACAACTAGTGAATATATCTCAACGGTACAAAGTTCAAGCTAATTTAGCATCTCTTAAATATTAACTTGGTAGTTGGAATAATATCTCTCTTCCATGTTATGAGCAACTCCAAACAGCAGATTTCTTGCCGTAGGTCTCCTCTTTAGGGAGTACTTTTCCTGACAAGTACAATATAAGGGCGGAGTTACATCAGGATAGAAAAAAACTGCTAAACGACAGTGCATGGCTAGTAAATTTAAGGATAGTATGCCAGAAAGTGATGGGGAAGAAACTGCTAATATAGAAGTATCCAACTAAACATATGAATAGAAATAAGTTAACTCAATGTTAATGAAGTACATATATAAAATTCTCATCCCCAATCAAGAATACAAAGTATATGCATCTTCTCTTTATAAATCAGGACACACACATACACATACATACACACACACACATAGTTAGCAAACACTAGTCCAAATGCCATAGGGTAAAACCTTTAATTTTTTTTATGTAGGACTTCACTCTGGAATGCAATTTGAAACATATGAAATTCAGTAGCCTGTCTGATTATAGAATGACCATGTTTCTATACAGATACTATGTCAAGGAGAATACGGTTTTTCACAACTAGTTAAATTTTATTGTCTTTTTAATCTCCCTAAAAGGGTAGCTCGGTGAACGTTGCATAACTATAGGGTTATTAGGATCCAGGAAAGGATACTACCACATGGGCATTTAACTTGAGCAGATTCTGATCTATTCATATAAGAAATCAGAGATTTTTTTCTACTCAAATTTGGTGCAGATCAATGATATAGTACACAAGACTTTTAAAGATGAAACTAGTATTCACTCATCTTCCACAAAATAAACTGAAGTACTAAAAGAGTAGTACAATACATATTATAGGGAAGATAATCATGAATACTTATCATGTGTATGGAACACTTTTTAATCTATCCCGGTAGACTGGAACCACTTAGCCCCTTCATATAAAACAAAAAAGCAAATCAAGAGGATGCGGACTATAAGAAAATTTTGAATAGAATACATGTTATAAATACCAAATTCTGAAACATATTACTTAGGTATAAAAAGACAACATTATAGATTGTAAACACATTCATAGTTTTCAACGAGACAATGATTCGAATAACATGATAGGACATTAAATTAAATTTCAAAAGGAAGTTTTTTTTGTCAAACCAAATGTTTGATCATAACTACAAAAAAAAAACAATATCACTTTGATAATTAAAGAATACACTAACTCTCCAAAAACAAATGTTTGAACTAAGAGAAAGAAAATACTTTAGCACCCTAATACTGATATCAGCATATGGAAAATATGAAAATCATTATTTGGTTACACAACAACAATAAGCTTACAATGTATTCCAATACAACAACTCAAGCATAACCACTAACAAGAATAAGAGCTCAAAAGCACCTGTAATAAGAAATTCAGAACTTAAAAGGGTGTGTAACAAAAAGAATGATATTCTCAAATAATATAGTGAAACAAAAGTGTCAAACAAACAACATTAAAATATCAATAAAACATAAAATTTAAAAGAAAAAAAACAGAGTTAAAACCCTAAGCCACAATAACAAAAAGAGGCAAATTAGCATCTAATGAGTTAGGGTTAAGGAGGTTGGATTGAAGGAAGATGAAGGGGAAATGAATACCACGGTGGCGGTGGGTTGGCAGCAATTCACCAAGTCGTAAATCGATCCTCCATGCCGGAAACGCTAGCGGGTGGTCGGCCCTATAATTTTCTGGGCCGTGGCAGCATTCGGGCGGCGGCAGCTCCAAGCAGCGATGACTTCTAGGTCTGCGGCGCTCCATCTTCATTCGTGAACACCATAGTGACAAATGAAATTGCTTATGACAATTATATGTGGAGAAGGATTGAAATGAAAATGAAGAAGAGAGAAAGGAGAAAGTGGGTTGCTGGAGAAAAGCTACGGGCAGGGCGTAGAGAAGAAATAGGAGAAGGAGAGAAGGGAGAGAGAAAGAGGGTAAAAAGCAAAAGATGAAATGGTAAAAATTATGGGATATTTATAGCATGTACAAGTTGTGTACAAACCATGTACACATAGCATTTTCGTACTTTAAATGTAAAAGATTTGGATCCCCTGATCTTAACATTTACCTTTCGGATCTTCGGCCGTTCCTTTTCTCTTGAGTTGTTCTTTCGCCCATCTTGGCCCACCAGCCCGCCACCCAGTGTAGATAGATGGGCAACCTGAAAGACAAGTCTTTCTCCTCATTTGGAACTCGAATGTTTTCTGGATTTTTGAGTTTTTCCCTCTCCCAGCGAGACAGTGGGACAATGATGCATGCCACGAATCATTTCTAGGGTTGTAAATTAATCAAATAATTTGTGCTTAATTTGTTATTCGAATTCGTATAAAACGATTCAAATTCGAAAAATACAAATACAAATATGAATATTAAATTTGATTCGAGTTGTTATCAAATACAAATAAAAATATCAGTGTATTCGATTCGAATATTAATCAAATATATTCGATTAATAATAGTGATAATATTAATAATAATAGTAATAACACTATAATAACTTTTAAAAGATAGCAATACCCTAAAGTGTAGTTCATATATACATTTATGCATACAGATTCTAAGTCCATTTGTAACAAGTCAGAGTATAAATACGAATACAAATCGGATTTTTGGTTCAAATGTCTTTCAAATACAATACAAATAATTATGTATTTGATTCACAGAATAAATTTGAGTCGTTTGACTTTGATATATACAATTATCAACTTATTTCACACATTATAAGTATAATTTCTAACATGTGTGTGTTAGTGTTTATTTTAAAAAGTTTGAAATAGATTTATATTTGTTAATCATAAAATTAATTCACTTAAGTATATCGTGCACAATCTAAAACTACATTGATCCATTGAATTTAAATTCTAAAAACACATATTAAGTCATAGCGTACATTTACAACATAAAAAAAATATAATAAAATTTATTTTAAAGTGATATTTGACTAATATTTAACCTCTGCTTAAATCTATTCGATATTCGTATAAGATTCGTTAACTATTTGCATTATTAAACAAATACAAATACAAATCGAAATTAATATTCGTTTCATATTTGAATTCGAATTCGTATTCAAAAAAATTAAACAAATACAAATACAAAATCCTACCATTCGACTCGATTCGGTTCGTATACAACCCTAATCATTTCACATTCCTTATTCTTTTAATCGTTGAAAAATTCTTAGTGTACATGAGTTGAACACAAAGTGTATACAAAATCCCGATAGTTGCTTGTGTATACAGACAATTCGTTTGAAAATGAGCAGAATTTGATATCAAAGCCCCCTAATTGCCTGTGTAGATGACAATGTACATCTTGTGTACATCAAGAATTGCCCTTAATTATTTCTGATGCTATTTGTACGTACATATAAAATATAAACATTAGCACTTCCTAATCATAAAAATTAGAGTTATCCAAGCTTGTGAAGAAATATATCTCGTTTAACTTTGTTTAAAATTTGACATTTCGATTATTTTTTAAAATACGTTCTCAATGTTAAAAATCAAATAAAACCCAATACACGATTACAATAAAAGTTGTGAATAAATTAGCTGAATCCACAAAGTAAGGAGAAATAATCATAACTTTAGACAATCGATCCAATCAGAAAGATGACTTCAACCTTATCTATTTCGAATATTATACGTAGTACAATACCAATACAATTCAACGTATGAAATCAAAAGTTACGCATTTGATGATAAAATAGACCCGGGAGGCCAATAAGTGGAAAAGATGGTAACAAAATAGGCTCTTAGTAGTTTTAGGTGACTAATAATGTTTCAGTATTACATTTGAGATGCTGTAAAAAAATTATATGCAACTTTTATTTGTACAATATGTTAGACAAAACCTGATTAGGATCTCAAAATATTGTTGTTTCAATTTGAAAATGTAGCGAGTAGTACTTATAAGCATGTTGTCAATTTATAAATTTATGAAGTTCGTTGTCGCAACATACGTCTATTAAGGGAGTGTTTGCAACTGCTTCTGCTTAAAAAAAAAGCACTTTTAGAGATGTAAGGAAAAAGTGATTAGTAGTAAAAGTTGATAGTGTTTGAGAAAAAAGTGATTTTGAAAAGTAAAAGTTGGTAGTGTTTGGTAAAATAAGGCTCTGTTTGCAAACCCTATTGAGAAGTGCTTTTAACTTTTTTAAATGATTTGGTAAAAAAGTGATTAATAGTAAAAGTTGGTAGTGTTTGAGAAAAAAGTGATTTTGAAAAGTAAAAGTTGGTGGTGTTTGGTAAAATAAGTGTTTTTTGTGTAATAGAAAAAGTAAAAAGCAGATTCTAGCTTTTAGCTTTTAAGTAATTCATTTAAGTAGAAGTTGTCATTTGAAAACATCTTTTTTAGCTTTTTTAAGCCAAAAGCTGGGAAGTGCTTTTCTAGTTGTGTTTGCAAACAGAGCCTAAATGCTTTTTGTGTAATAGAAAAGGGAAAAACACTTTTCACACGCAAGTCGAGAAAAAATAAAAATTGGTAGTGTTTGGTAAATAAGTGCTTTTTAAAGCCAAAAGCTGAGAAGTGCTTTTTTTTAAGCAGTTGCAAACACTCCTAAGTCTATTGACACGATAATTAAATTTTGTTGAAATTTGATTGCTGTTGATAGAATGAATGCTGATGAGTTTGGGTCACCCTAAATTGATGCGTTTGATTTTGTTTGTACACGAGTAAAGCCTGGTGGTTGATTATTCAACACTCTTGGAACAAATTCCTCGTTATGCTCCTGGTCTAAAAAGGGGTTTAAACACTCGCGAAAACTTTCATGAAATATGAAAGGTGATGAATATCTTTACGGAATTGCTTAATAGCTTGACGGATTCGTGTGGTGGGAGTACTACTCTGTTGAAACCTGGCACACCGGTGATGAATGTCCTGCTGGGAGTGCTACCCTGTTGCAGCTTGGCGCACAGGTGATGGATGTCCTGCTGGACTCGTCCTGTAAAACCAGTACCGACAAGGCTAAGTATGATCAGATCCGGATTTAACTGTCTAGAGGTTTTGAAGGGTAGCTTATAGACTCCATGATTATGGGAGCGCAAACACCGACATCTGGATCTCATACATAACTATAACAGTTACGCTATTTATGAATGTTTTAAATCAGAATATAATTTTCTGGTCGGTTTCAATTTTGTTTTACTTAAGTCTAGTAATCTAGTATGGTCTGATATGGCTAGTAAAAATTCGGTGTGTGTATTTTACTACTTAATTAACTTTGTCAAGTTTATGACTCGAATTTGCTCAATCAAAATGTATTTTCTCTTTGTATCAAGTCTTCCATCCTTTCACTTGGGTTTCATACTTTCATTTTCTTACTTTATGTTGTTCAAGGTTTAGTTGTACCAAAAGGTCCAAATTAAAGTTCTTCCCTTAGCTTAAACCATATAATTACCTTGCACAACCACTTAGCAAGGAAAGATCCAAAAGATGGAAAAAATCTAGAAAAGAAATGGAAAATTAATAACAACTCCTTTTGAAAAGCATTAGTATGCAGATACATCATACGAGTATGGTCCGGGTAAAAAAAAACATCATACGAGTATGGATGTTTTCTTTTGGACTGTGTTCAGTCCCAGATCAGACCAGACCAGACTTAAACAGACCAGACCAGACCAGACCAGAATTTCTTAGTTAAAATACACAGAGACCAGACGTTTACCGGACCAGACCAGTTCAGACCAGATCAGATCCAGACCAGACGTAAACAGATAAGACCAGACCAGACCAGCAAATTTCAGTCCAAAAGAAAACATCCTATGTTAAGCACAAAAGAAAACTCGTATGTTATGGAGTATAATTATTGTGACCATGGTCGATAACATAAGCTAAATTGAATCAATACTTTTGTTATACCAAAATAGCGACATTGCGAGTACCACATGGGTAGTGGTTCAGAGAGTTCTAATAATTTGTAAATTGGAAGTAATGTAAACAAATATTATTAATGTTAATTCTCAGGTTATTAACAAATCTGATATGGAAGCAGCTAGGGACAGATAATATATAGGTTTGGGTTCAATATCAAGATTACTCCAAAGGAAAAGGGTTAATGTCTTTTACTATTACGAAATTGTCACATAAGGTCATATACTCAATAAGATGTTATATAAATACGTCTACTTATAAAAAACAATCGAATGATGTACTCATCATCCCAATTTTAGCCTACGTGTCGTTACTTTGCCTTGTATTTAAGTCAATCCTTGCCAAATATTTCACGTCAATCTAATAATCTATTTTAGAAAGATAGTCAGACGTACGCTAAATCTGGAATTACGAGGTTGTTAACAAGTCTTGAAGACTCATCCAATTTCTTTTTATAAGTAGACGTATATTTGATACTTTATTGAGTACATGGTCTTATGTGACAATTTCATAATAGTAGAATTGAAGATCTCATTTGAACCTTTTCTCTAAGGGGAATTAATTTACCCTAAACAGGACAAAAAACGTATGTGCATTTCAAAATAGGAATATCATGTTTTTATTTCCAAAATAAGACTAATTGATGTCATGTTTTGGCAATATCAGACTTTTAACAAGAAAATATTTTCCAAATTTGATAGTAATTACTTCTATTTTAGGAATAAAAACGTGACAGACCTATTTAAAAAATTCAATATTTTTACTCTTGTTTCGGAAATTCTCCCTAAATATAATTGCTTTAAGCATATGGTATGTATTTGTAATTTTGTATGAACTAATATAGTGTATGCTCTGGTTTTGGTGTAAGTAGCCTTTGGTATAGTAGGATTGCACACGACATAGAACACTCGTGTACGTGATTGAGTGAATGGTGTTTCCTACGCTTTGATTATTCTTATTACACTGTCCGCCCCTATATAAAAGTCTCTTTCATTTTACACACAATTTAAAAAGGCGGAATTCATAGACATTATTTCACATTATTTGGACACTGTATGATAC